CGCCGCCTCAGGTCGTGGGTCGGTCAGCACGAAGCGCCGCCTCCTTGGGCACTCTGCTGGCTCCGAAACCAGTTGTAAGGGGCGAATGCCCTTCGAGGCTGGACGGGACTCGGCCCGTTTACCCGTTCGACTCGGGTTCCAATCGGAGATGAACTTGACGGCAAGTTTTCTGGTTACAGAAGTGTTCCGGTGTTCCCGTTTATATACCCCATGTCCAAGGCAGTTCAAGGGTCATGCCAGAATTGGGTGAGTCACCCAGATTCTGGCATACCCGCCCAGTTTGTAATTTGAACCTCCCCAATTCATGTCCGTTCGTCTCACCGACCCGTGGGTACCCAGCGCCACCCTTTTCCGTATTGACCAATACGGCATTCATCCCCTTTGTCTATTTCATTATCACTCAGCCCAGTTGCCCTTAGTAAACCCCACTATACAGCACTTCTAAAGAGTCCCTATTGTACAATGCCCAGTGCCTATAATATACAATGTTTCTCCCGTGTTAATATACAAGACAAACCCCTTTCTGTGCTAATGTACATACCCCCTACGGCTCCCCTCACAGTCCGGGCGGGGCTCCTCGACTAGAGGTGGCCACTCAAAGGTGCCATCCGGTCCGTTAAATCCGGTTCGTTAATTTTTATCAGTTGTCCGTTAAATTTCGTTAAAGAAAAAGGGAGAAAAATTCAGAAAAAACAAAAAAAAATCCAAAAAAATTGAAAAAAACCCAAAAAATCACAACAACTGCGGCTAGTTGAAAATCTAGTATGCATAGGTTGAAATAAAATACAAACATACTCTCTAATAGCGAATTCCATAAACTATAAGTATGACTAAAACCCAAAAATCCCCAAAAAATCCAAAAATCCGTTAATTTTTGGTTAATTTTTGTCTTTTTTCGTTATTTTCCGTTAATTAACGGAAAATTAACGGAAATTAACCTCTGTCCGCTATTAACGGATCCGGGTGGCCACCTCTATCCTCGACATGGCGCGCGACCCCGAATGGCGAAGGGAGGCGGCAGAGCCGGAGCAAGCAGGTGAGGACATGCGGGAGGCGGAGGCAGCGGAGGAGGTGCGGAGCGCGGGGAGCGATGCAAGGAATGACAAGGGGGAGGCTGCCGAGTCCGACATGGAGGAAGATGAAGATGAATACATCTCCATTGGCGAAATCAAGATAGAAGCTGCTGAGAATGGAGGAGAGAACAGGGAGTCTGATGGCTGGGAGATGGTGAGTCGTAAGTAAGGCATAGGGACAATCATTGGGAATGAATAGAGGTGATTCAGTTGGCCATTAATCAATAGAGGCCAAAGCTTGGAAATGGAAGTGAATGTCTTGGGAATGAATCAATCAAATAAGTGGTTCTGGACTGGGGATGAATAGAAACGAGTGTTGTTATACTCGTGTGATGTACTTGGATACGTTTTGAAGCAAAAGGATATCATTTGAATCGATTGGGAAGGTACTTGATTAGCAACTACGAAATTGAGCCAATGAAAGGTAACGGCTTGATCAATTTTCAGGATTAGCAATTGGGATGCGTGTGAAAATGTACTGGGGATATTTCATAAAGAATTTGGGTCTCTAAGATAGAGTATGATATAATTTGGTGCTAAGTGCACGCAGTTGATGATGAAATAATAGTTTGTGTGGGTTGGACACAATAATGCGTTTAATTGGCTGGAATTTGCTTTGTTTGAAAATGGTCATTTGACTGTGCGGCTGAGCTCATTTGAAGTCCTGCACAGTGGCAAATTAGTTGTGGTTATTAGCAATGATTTGAGATATATTTTGATGGCGTGGTTAGTGGAAAGAAGGCAGGAGCATTTTCACATGTTCATAGTGGGAATTGTATTGCTTCACATTTGTATTTTCCAATAGGAGATACATTGGATGTTTTCGATGGAGCAGTGGCATTTCATGGTGAAGTTGTACGGTGGGATATTCCCTAAGAACATCGTGAGGATATGGAGCATGGGCACGGGGTATTTGAGAAGGGTTGTGCGCCCATTTGGTCGCAGCACAAACCCTCGCCTTTGGACACCGAACCGGTTGACCTAGTGAGCTTGTAACAAGGCCGTTGACCGTTGAACTGAGTTCCTGACCCGTGTGGCCAAGGCCCAAGACCATCCAGGTCGCTGCGCATCGTGCGCTCGACTTTGGGAACGCGTCGAAGGCGGTGTTTTCGTGCGAAAGGCCAGGCCCTACACAGAATTCTGTGTGGCGGGCAGCGCTGCACCTCGAGTGCTGAGCGCTTGCTTGTGCTACGTGTCGATGGCCGTTCTGTGATTCGTATGACTGAGTGGAGCATCTGTGAGCCTGAGAACCCTTGGCGAACGTCGTTGAGGCGTTTTGGTGAGAGCTGGAGACCGGAAGAGTCAAGATTTCGACAGTGCTGGCTGTGGCGAGAGCTGCGAACTTCGTATCAACGTTGTCGACGAGTCGGTTGACCGTTAGGTGAGCCAGGGAGCGTTGTTGTGAGGCAGAGCAACGAGGGAACGTGTGCTGAAGACGGCGCCTTCGTGGTCAAGTCCTGAGAGGCTTGAAAGAGAGGCAGAAGGTCAGCGAAGGCAGCTGTGAAGTGCATTGGAGGAGCTGAGCTGCACTGGAAGTGAAGCAAGACCAAGTAGCTAGAGGTTCGAGTCAACAAGCATTGGATTGCTGCACTGAGGAGCCCTTGAGGATCAGGAGGCTGTGAGGGACTTCATAAGGTCAAGAATAGGACAAAAAGCCAGAAGCCCTGGAGGTGACTGTGTATCCTGATGATATAGTAGTGTCTCTTGGTGGTGCTCGTGGGCCAGCCAACCAGACGGGAGAGTCTAGCGTATTTTGGAGTGTGGAAAGGTGGTGAGAATTGGGGAAAGCATTGGGTTGTGCCTTTGCGACTATAGTGCTTGTGAACACAGTTTTGCTTGCTTCTGATATTCTTGTTCACAGTGCACGTTTGCTGCAAAGAATCGCTGCAAGTACTTATCGAAAGTTGGTCTCATTGATGCCAAGGGATAACCTCCCTTTGGCGAGGCTGGCAAGGGAGGTCGCTGCCTTGAAGGGGCGCCTTACCTTTCTGTGGGAGGCTGAGCGTGTTCGGAGGGAGCGTGCAGCAAGGGGAGAAAGTGTTGGTGACTTGCCCAGGACTTCTTTTGATTTGCATTTTGGCCCAATTTGTGGCACGGTTCGATATCAAGTGGCTTGTGCTCTTCTAGATGGAATCTTTGTGGGTTGTTTCCTGTCCCTGAGCGCTCTCAGCTTTGGTCTTTGGATTGGTTCTCTCCTTTGAAGGGTGGGAGAGCACATGGCCATGACTCAGCCGTTGCCTAGTCAGCAGTCACACGTAATGGCCATGCAACGTGTCCGAACAATCCATCGTGCGGGTCATGCAACCTCGGTGTCTCCTTCCTTGCAACATCTGGCACATTCCCACAACACACACAACGACTGCAGATACACAAATCCTGGCCAGATGGGAACACGGGCCTTCGACGCCGCTGGTCACAGCAACGCCGCAGTACAAGCATGTACCCCACAGGGATGCGACATCCATGAAACGCTTTGATGCCCTGTTGCCTGTCGCTCCTGCATCGCCATTGCTCCCCGATGCATCCACAACGCGCCCAATTCCCCAGGTGTCGTGATGTGCAGGTCGCATGTCCACATGATGCAATTCCCAAGTTGCAGCCATTAATTCACCAAGTTAATTGAAATCTAATATAAAATTTCTAACACTTGTCTTAGAATGCGAGTATTTTACCATTTTGGCAAAATCCGCATGGTATTGCATATTTTGAACAAGAGTCACATGTATTTCCGAAGCCTGCATCCTCGGTTTCTTTTCACTTTCCATCGCGTCTCATGCGCCTCTGGAGTGGGAAAAGGGTTGGAGGTTCTCTGGGAGTGGCTCAACGGCGTGCCTTCGTCACGTTGAAGCACACCTCAAATGTTGGGGCTGCAGATGGGAGGCCGGCCGTGGGCGCTGCAGGATCCAACGGTCCAAGGCACGATCAACAAGCGGGGCCTGTGGATGTTGCAAGCATATAAGCTGTATGACAGCGGGGGGGAAACAATGCAAGGACGCCACCTTATATTTGTGTCACAGTGCAGGCGAACCACCTGTGGGCCAGGACCAGCCACGGAACCCTTCTTGATGGCATATGCCAGCCCGATGAGCCATTGACATTGGGTTCTCGTGGTTGACGGCCAATCCGCACTCTTACGATGCTTCTCCCTGCCGGCGACCTCTAAGTAAGGGTGTCCATAAATTCAGACCCCCCGCTGTGTGGGTGTGGCCTAGTCAGAATGTGGAAATAGACGCACAAATCGTTTGGGCACTGCCAAAGCGCAATAAACTCTAAGCGTTGAGAATTGTTTTGTCACTTATCCTGCAGCGCTTCTCTCGATCGGCAGTTTTGCCTGCATCGGAAAGGGCCAAATGTTGTGTCAGCACTCCGAAATATGCAAAAAAATACGGTACTTGAACTATGTTTAGAGTGCCGCAGTTTAATCTAGAAACTAAAGGCGTAGTCTTCTGAATCTGTCTCCAATTTTAGCAGGGAACATGGAAACGCACCGTCAATAGTTGACAACACATTTGCTTGTTAATATTCGCTCTTCACAAGGAGTTGCCAGACCGAGGCATCCAATCACACTTTTGGCAATGCTGTCACGTTGCTGCCGCGATTCATATTGTGTTGAACAGAGGGGCGCAAACAAGTATGAAGAGACATGTTGCGAACAATTGTCACACCATTCAATGTGCCACAATATGATGGCCGACAAACGCATCGAAAACCGAAAAGTACTCGACGAAAAGGGCAACGGAGCGTTGGCCGGATGCCGCCCTTGTTGGCCCCCCCAAGCTGACGAAGATGGGCACCCGTGTGGTTCAGCTTCTGCGCCTTCGTGGGGTCCCCATCCTTCAGCAGCTCAGGATAGAGGAGGCGATCCTGAGGGCGAGCAACCAGAACTGGTGTATACTGAATTCAGAAATCTGCCAGCCGGCGGTGGTGATGGGTTTGTCTGGGTAAGCACGCTCCCAAGCAGGCAGGAGGGGGCAACCAGCGGCCGGCGAGCTGTCTGGCGGGACTTGATACGAAAGCAGCGGCAATGCATCGATAGTAATGCCAATGATCTCCTCAGGCGTTCGATGCCGCCCTGCCCGACGTCGCCCCCAGTGCTTCTCACGCTGGTTCCAAACAGCCTGGAGGGCGTGTGTTGATCGGACGGTTATCTTGGGTGTCATCCACGTCCATTTCTGAGCTCAAATGCTTGGAGAATACAGAGCTGTGTTGGGTGGGGCCAACTTCCCTACCCTATTCGGGCTCCATTCTATTGCCCGATTTGCAAGGATGGGCACAAACTGCCCCAAATCGCAACATTGGATGATACACAGTGGACAGTTACTCGGAGGGTGGAATAAGAGTAAAAAATGGCATCAGTCTGGATGATCTGTCTGCTCTCAGATGTCACATTCTTGTCAAACTACACCCTTTCAGCAGCACAAACTGGGCTCCTTGGCTTCTTGTCTTTTGGAAACTTGTGATTTCCAATTTCCAGGAAGATGGAAGAGCATCTACATACTTCCCAAGTTCGAGAGATGGGCATTCCAGTCATAAAACGGTTTTCAGGGGGCGGTACTGTTGTCGTGGATGAGGGAACTGTGTTTGCCACTCTCGTGTTTCAGGTATGCATATCCATTTTCAACTGCTGCCAACTGTTCAAAGTGTCCAGTGCTCCCAAAATTGCTGGTCAGATTGTAAGCTGTCATCCAGTTGCATACAGGATAAGATGGCTTGCCCCAAAACTGTGACGCAGCATGCACAAATTCAGTCATTTCTGTGTGCATTGGCGTACAAATGGTGCACACCAGACCTCCTGCACACCAGGTATTTTGCTTTATATGGAACACCCAACATGCCCATTTGCTCCTTCTCACACGATTGTTCTCAATCCAGGCAGATTGCGTTCCAGATGTGGAATGTTATCCAAAGCCAGTGATGAGATGGACTGAAGACCTTTATGGTCCAGTTTTCCTCCCCTTTGGAAACTTTGAACTGCATGAGCAAGGTGAGATCCGCCAGTGATGAGTCTTGGAGTTGTCGTAGTCCAAAATGCCCTCTGAGCAATCTGGTGACCATTATGTGCTGCACTATCATCAAGAGTGCAGTAGATAGGGTGCTGCATGTGCAGTCAAGCTCAGAATAGATCATATGCTTTCTTGTCCACAGCAAACTGTGGCTTGCAATTGTGTGGTGCAAAGTCGTGGATCTGAACTGTTTGTTGTAAAAACCGCCAATGGCAGTGGAGGGGATGGTTTGATCAGCAGAACCCTTCGAAAATATTGTGCTCAGAGCAGACAACTCAGCCCAACTGTCTCCTTAACTTCACAATCTAAACCAACAAGATGCTCTCATGAACCAGCTGGGCGATGCAACACAGTCAGTGCTGGTCCAAATTTTAGTATCTGGCCAGGCAACAAAACTCATTCGCTTGCTGTTGCCAGAAGTTGTTGTTGCCCCTTGGCCATGAGTATTCTCACTATTTGTTGCTTGACCATGCTTTGCGTACTGTGCTCCTGTTCAGACTGCAGATTTGTTTATGTGGTGGCCTGCAATTCATGCGATGGGCAAAGGCAGCAATCCCAGCAGCGAGAAGCTGTGTTTGGTGGCATGCTGGCTGTGCTTCACAAGAGCATGTTGTAACCTGTAATTCTCCTATCAACTTGGCTTCTGTTCATTTGCTGGCATGCCAGGGTTTGTAGAACACAGTCCAGCCCAATGGTATTGACAGCAGACAAACTTTGCTTTGTTTGTGATGTCCAGAAATTCCAGCAAAGGATAATGTACTTGAATAGAGTTGATCTTCAATGCCTACACCTTGATTCTCATCACACAAAGACAGCGAATGCAAGTGAAAGGCATCCTGTGGCATCTTGATACGTGGCTGTGAAGCTGTTTACCAAGCCTAAGTGTACACCGGTTTCTCTATCAGATGTATCTCAGAATTTAGATGGTGAGCATGGCAGAACACAAGGCTTTGTAGTGGAGGAATGCTCAAGCAGTGTGCTGGTGTTGATTGTGGTTCTTTGGATAATGTGCACATTCCTGTTTATGCCTTTGTTGTTAATTCCTTTGTAGATTATACCTTTGGATCTCTGAAGTTTGGGGGCAATGCCCAGGCAATCACCAAACAGCGGTGGCTGCACCACACATCCTTCCTTTGGAACTACAATGAGAACCTCATGGCCCTTCTCAAAGCTCCTGAACGGCAGCCAGCATACAGACAGGTGTGGGAATTTGCTGACATATCAGTTGGCATGCAGCCCTTGTGTGGCTGCTACCTGCACTTGGAACAGCAATTTCTGTGTTTGGAATCTGTGTAAGTTTGGCTTCCATTCTGTATAACTTGTCTGTTGGGCGCCAGTCGCTTTTGTTTGAGATGTGACCTGGACTTGCAACAGGCCTTAACTGGTTTCTTGAAAATCACAAGACTCTAACACTGTGTGCACATTGTGTCATAAATGGCCGTTTGCTGTTCTTGATCCAGAGAGCGAATGTCATGGCTGCTGCGTTCTGCTCGCAGGGGGATGTGCAGCAATAAACAAGCAGAAGCCAGGGCTCCTGGCACTGTGCACATTTGTGCACTTGCATGGAATCTATAATACCTATCCAAAATACCTATATTCCTGTGTTGCAGTAAAATGGTATTATTGTCATGTGTATGCACATGCAGATATGCAGTAGCATAGATGTTATGGTACACTGCCTGTATACCTTCACATCTATGCTGTATCCTATGTATGCTATCTGTACTAAATTGAAATGCATGTATGTTGTGGCCAGCATGTGTGCATTCCCCATGTCTGCATGGCATCGCGAATCCTTCCTTGCATGTGCTCAGTCGTACCCGCATGTACTTGCTAAAGCACCATCCAATCAACAACTGGCGAAATTGGGCACAAAGAGTGCCCTGCCACCACTGCACGGTCCTTTCTCAACGCACAGAAAATCTTTCAAGCACGACTTTCAGCAATTGGACTTGTTCGTAGCACAGACAGAATTGTGTGAAATGTGCGATGTTTGCACGTAAATCTACTTGCTGCGTTTCCAGAAACGAAGCCACGAGGAGTTCCTGTGTCGCCTCAAAGACCACATGCCATCAAAGACGGGTCTGATGGATGGCATCTGCGCCGCACTGGAGCGGAAGGGATACGTGTTGCAGGTGAAGCCCCACCAGGACAATCTCAGCCGCCACAGAAATGTGGCACAAATGCAGAGCTGCGTTTGTGCGACAGTTCTGCAGTGGCGATGAAGGTACTTTACTTCAGCAGGCAACTCGAACGACCATGGACCGTGCCACACCGCGTGCCACAGATTCTGCAGTGAGAAGTGTATGTCGGGTCATGATCCAGTCGTCATGGAGAGGTGCAGCACGATACCTTCTCTGCGGTAATGTTTCGTTGCCTTCTTGGCTGCGGGCATTTTGTTGCTTACTTTCACGAAATTGGAAAGCGTGAAAATCGCTTTTTGTGCTGGGTCACGGCTTGGTTCGTCAATTTTGCACGTCTCAGTGTACGTTGAAGGCCCTCCGTTTGCATTTTCTCACCAGGAGTAGTCGTGTGGATTGAGCCATTGAAAAGTCAAGCATCGAAATGATGGATTGAATTCCTTAAAGCAAGAATACACATATAGGACAGACTGCCAAGATGTGGTGTCGACGGAACGGGGGATGTTTCAGCAGCAGCAACAGGTATTGTTCCGTTGCGAGCGGCATTGAGATTTCGACCCACGAAACGGCGACATCCAAACACATCGGAATCACTGGGCATTGGTGATCAATGACACCAAAAATACGGTGAATAATCCATCCTCAACATGTTTTCTGCTACTTCTTCTGTCCAAGATTAACTGTCCTCTACTTGAAAGACAAAATTCGTCATGAGGACTGCCTCAAAGTTACAAAACAAGTTCAAAATCGGAAAGGTTGGTTTCCAAAACCCTTAGCTGCCAAATATCAAGAAGAGAAAATGAGGCACGAGCTCTTTGACCATCAGCCGAAATGTCATTCTTGACCCCAAATACCGAGGGTTAGTAGGTAAAAGACCCTTGATACAAAGTACTGCCAAATCCTCAATGCTTAACGGATTAACTTGA